GCTCGCCAGACAGACAGAGAGAGACATAGAGACAGAAAGCGAGAAATTACCCCCCAGGAGGGATGACCACACCGCAATCCCTTCTCCTCCATTCTCCTGTGGGGATCTTGGGCACGCACGTACATGCACCCAGCGTGAGTTTAAGCCACCGGGTCTGGGACTTGAACTGTGGTCAACTACATGGGAGTCCAGCGACATAATTATTACACTAACTGCTGGTCCCTGGAAAGTACATCTTGAACATGACCACTTCTGACCACTGCCAACACCGTAGGCTAAATTGGCATCAACTTTAGTATGGATTGTGTGGTTAGATTCCTGTTTATCTTGCTTTTGCCAGAATCTGGCCAGAGTGCTCCACGTAAACAGAATCAGTTTCGTCCCATTGCGTTCTCAGGGTTGTGTGAGCTAGCCCCCTCCCCTACTCCACCGTCTCATGGCCGTATTTCTTAATCTCTTACTGAACTCCCACTCCGACGTCTTATAACGCCATGAAGCCTGTACTTTGGTCATCTTGATGCTTGACTTGTTTTGTTTGCTTCACTCAACTTGTCTTCCTTGTTTGAGGGTTCCTCTGGAAGGAGAATGTAGACACGATTTACACATCTAAGCTCACACTTGGACACAATCGTGAAACTCGTGATTCTTTTCCTGCATCCCGAGTCATTGTAATAACTGTGGTTTCTGCAGGAAACACACTCAGTAGTGGTCCTACTCCCGATGAGCTCTCCCTCCTTTCTCCTTCTGTTTCCACTGCAGCGAGTGTAGAAGAGAAGGTGATGTTAGACCGCAGAGGTTAGCCTGTGACTTCTAGAGTCTAAACCACGTGCAACTGGCGTGAAAAAGGAAAGGCTCGACTGGCTGAACTTCAGAGGCTGTGACCCCAAATCCAGGCACATCGAAGGCAAGGGGGCACTCTTGTGGGGGCCGTTCAGACCTTTATAGATTAGCACTCGAGGACGGTGTATACACCCTTCCCACCTCACCCTCTTAATAAAGGAGGAATCTGCCATCTTTACTTATGGTTAAGGGCTCTCCCTAGCAACCACTCCAAATTCCTGAAACATTGAATTCTTCCTTTTCAGAGGCTTTTGGAGAGGCTAAGTATAATAGATTTTCACAGCTGTGTAAAGAATTACCACAAACTTAGTGACTTGAAAATGACACTTCTTATTATCTTGCAGTTTCTGTGGGCTGGAAGTCTGGGTGAGATCGGGTGGTCTCTCTGCTCCCGATCTCCAAGGGCCGTAATCAGGTACTGGCCTGGCTGTGCCTTTGAGTGCGGGCTGGGGAGCTCATTCAGGTGGTGGGCAGAATCCAGGTCCTGTGGCAACAGCCTGAAGTACTGCTTCCTGCTGGCTGTGACTGGGGTGGCCTGTGATCTGAGAGGCTGGCCCCCCGCCCCTTTTTATAGGCTGCCCACCTGCCTCTTTATATCTTTGAGCCAGCAATGGCTCATTGAGTCCTTTTCAAACTCTGGGTCTCTCAAACCTTCTCTTCTACTCCTGGCCTAGTAAAATTCTCTGCTTTGGAACTTCCATGATTACATTTGGCCCATCCAGATACTCCTTACTTTAAAGTCAACCTGGGGCCTGCAGGTGGTATGGTGGTTGAGGCATTGAACTCCCACATGGTTGACTATGGTTCAAGTCTTGAACCTGGTGGCTTGAGAATCAAGGTGGGTTCTTGTGTGTGCCCCAAATCTTGACAGGAGAATGGAGGAGAAGTGATTGCATGAGGCCATCCTTCCCTAGGGAGCGACTTCTCACTTCCCCTCTTGCTGTCTCTCTCTGTTTCTCTCCGGTGAGTGTACATGCCCTATGGCAAAAGCTTTGGGGGAAAAAAAAAAAATCAACCTGTATCTAAACTTCAGGAATTAGGATAGAGTTTTTTTTTTTAATTTATTATTTATTATTATCATTATTATTTTCCAGTTTGGTCAGAGAGAGACAGAGAGAGAGAGAGGAAGTGAGAAAGCAAGCCACTAGGTCCAAGACTTGAACCGTGGTCGGCCATGTGGGAGTCCAGCGCCTTTAACCACCATGCCACTTGCTGGCCCCAGGATAGAGTGTTTTTGAGGGATCGTTTCAGAAATCCTCCCATTGCCACTTACCTAATTCCTAATTCTACCTAATTCCAAAATTCAGGCATTCATTAACACAGTTCAGAAGATTGTCTCGTAATTATTTGTTACACTTAAATGTACAACTTTTGCCAAAATGCTAATAAAAGCATTCATAAAGAAGTACTTGGATTCTGGTTTTTAGGACGCTCCCAGACTAGGACTTTTCAGGACCTTTTCTGCTACTCACTATGGAATGTGTGAGAAAGCTCCTCCCTGGGCACCATGGTTCTCTCTATGGGATTTCCCTGTCTTAACTCAGAAATGTATTTTTCTTATTCATATGGCAAATGCTTCATTTTCCTTTGATATAGTTCATCTATCTCTTCCTCCGTGAGAGGCTCCTAAATTTTCCCTGGGCAGAGAGAGTCCCTTTGCCACATTCTCACAGAACTTCCTCATGCCTTGTCATGTCTCTTAACGGTGTGTCTCTCTTTCCCGCCATTGGTGGATTTGAATTCCCTGAGCTAGAGCCATGGCCTTGCGGGGGTTTCCTAGAATGCAGTGGGTGGTTGTGACACATTTGCTAAATGAACCAGTAAAGATGACAGCATTAGGATGGGATGTGAGAGATGAGGTCACAATATAAAACAGAAGATTGGCGATCTCCATGGAGTTTGATAAATCTGACAACTTTATTTGTATGGTAATGGTATTACATCAACGTTTCCTATAATAACAACTTGCCTTTTCATGTACTAAATTTAATTTTATTCTTATATCACTCCTCTGGGTGAGCCGGCATACCAGACAGTTCACAGATGAGCAAAAACAGTCAGAAATGAGCTCTGCAAGTTCAACACCAGCACTGATCTCTAGATAGAAGGTAGACTGACAGAATGGGAAGGAAATGAATTTTAAAGTCCTGTAGGCCTGTACAGGATGCTTCCCAAGCAGCTGTGTGAACTTACAAAGTTAATTAAATTTGCTGAGATTCAAGGTTTTTTTTCCTTCCCCGTTTCTCTGTAAGCCCTTCAAAAAGTTCATGGAAAAATAGAATCAAAGTGTATGTTTATTTTGGTGCAAAAATTTATTGAAATCCATTCATAAATGGATTTAAAATACACATTTCCATGTACTCTTGAAGACCCCTTATAAAATCACACACCTTGGATAATTATGAAGACATTCCATTATTCAATGAATTCATGTATTTTGATAAAAGAAAAATTCTAAGAAACATACTTGGCTTATGTTAGAAACTTAATGATTACAAGATTAATAGAGCAGAATTTACAGTCTTTCCTGCCTTTCTAAATACATTTTGAGTTATTTTCTTTCTCTTTTCTTTACTCTCTTTCACTTTTCTCCC